ATACAGGGATATGGGTGGTTGTCAAAATTATGGTCCCTTTTTGGGTACCCTAAATATTAGGTGCCGTATTACAATAGGGATCCATAAAGGGACCATAATTCTGACAACCACCCATATGTTTCAAGTTCTGTTCTACTAAGCCGCAGTAGCAATGTCAAGATCTGTTTTGCTATGCTCTCCCGAGAAAGATCCGACTAAAACGGGGGAGGTTCTCAGGGTGCGCTTAAATCTCATGAGGATGGTGCTCCTACTCTACACAGTTTGGGGGTTTAGGGTCATTGCAATTACTGAGGTTAGGCCTTCGAGGGGTGGGTGGGTGGGAGGTCATGCTGCTTTTGAAGCTGTGAAGTGTCGAAAGTACGGGAATAGGGTTGGGGGCCCTAAGCAACTGTAAGTTAATCTGGTTTAGGGTTTATAAACCCTAAACCCTAAACCCTAGAAGCCCTAAACTCTAGGGCTTGGAATCCTTCGTTGACAAGGTAAGAGCCGACAGTCTGTGGTAAACTGCCGCTACAGATACCTCCAGTCTTTCGTGATGAAACCTACTTAGTTTAACAAACCCCGTACCAAGCTCTATGATGCATCCTGGAGCTTCAACAAAAGAAGGATGTTCCATTAAACGACAAAAAGACAACGCACTAGAATAGAGAAACGTATGGACTAGTCATGGCAGTCATAATCATACTTGTAACAAGTGGCAGTAATCACAGTCATAATGGTACTGATAATGCGCAATAGAAATAATCATGCAAAATGCCAAGAACTGTGACTGTCATCAGTCAACTATTACTATTACCAGTACCACCACGACGACTACTCCTCCTCCTCCGTGGCGGCGGCGCAGCACTAGCAAAAATAACAACATGAATATTAAGGCAGGTAGTATTACCCATGCCGACTCCCCTAAACCCTAAACCCTAAACCCAAGGACGGCGATCCAGAAGATGCGAGAGCATGGTTTGAGGGTCGCATGCTTTGCTGTGTCTTCCTCGCAGGACTTGGGTTCAATGGTCAGGGGCCTATATAGGGGGGTTACAGGAATTAGGGTACAGGGGGATGTGTACCGGATATACTGCGGGGTTGTTTAGAGGTATTTTAGAGGTATATAGTGATGTAGGTACGGAATTGTAAAAAAAGAAAAAGGAAAAAGGAAGCACGACATTAATTTGTGGATTTTGGTGTAGGATTTGGAGTTTTGGGGTGTGAGGTGTTTTAGGTGTGGGGCGCAAGGATGTGGGGTTTGTGTTTTGTGATGGGACGCTTTGCGGTTTTTGGGTTGGGAGTTTGGCATGCAGATCCTTCCCTTGGAGTTCAAGGATTGCTTCAGAACCGCAATGTGAGAGCTTCCCAACACAGGCGCCATATTGATTCTAAAGAAGCCCCTGAACTATTTGCATTTCCTCAGAACCCCTGGACTAGAAGGTCATCACCATCTTGAACCTCGAAGGGTTTAGGGTTTAGGGTTTTTGTCATTCAGGAGTAAAGTATAGCTTCATCATGTCTCCAAAAAGGCTACGACTACCCTCCCGGAAACTAACATGGAAGCCCAAGAATAGCCCTATAAAGAATA